GTGTCGAGAGGTTTGTCCGCGTTAGAATCTCATCAACTTCAACGTCGTTTCGAAGCTTCTCGGCTAATTCTGTCAAATTAACCCCGGCCGCCTCCAGCGCTGTTACATTCACTCCAATTGGACCCTCGATTTCAATACCTATCAAATTATTTCCGACAGTAAAACAACAGTGATATAGCGATAACGTTCAGGCAGGCAGTCAATCCAACTGGCGATTTTTCCTTTACATATAATTGTTAAGTACCATTACAGGGTATCCAAATTCAGAGACTAGTTTGCTAATACTAGTAATAAGATCTATTCGATCATACGATGCTAAAATTTTGAAAATGACAATCTGTTAAACCGCAACTTTGATACTTAGTCAGTTCCACTCACAAAAATACTGTTTAAAAACTCAAATAGAACATCAGAATCACTGTTTTTGCCATTATGATTGATAAAAGTGTTCGCGAAAGCAAGCGAAGTCATAAAATCCAGCAGCAGCACCTTCGAAAGCACTCGCGTTGAATTCATCCACAGCAGACGGTACGAAATCTGCGCATATGCCCGGTAGAAAGAAACCAATTTTCTCGTAACGTTTGAAGAGATTTTCTGGGATTTGCAGCTGCAGTGCATTGGCCACTTCGAATGAGTTTATCGTCATTGTGGCGCTGAAATGGAAACCTCTCAAATTAGTCGACTATTCCTAACGATTGATCTACTCGGTTGCATTAATCGTTTGTTATTGATAACGAAAGATTACTGATTTAAGTCACAAGTCACAATTTAAGTCACTTAAGACTGTTGGTTGTTCCAAACAACTACTTTGAAGATCGTTGAACAAGTGTTCAATCGATCAATCGAAATGTATTTTCGGTCTCCTTNTAATCCAAGTTCGGATTACATGAAGGCAGATGATTCCAAACGCTATTATCGCACTGTACGCATAACTAATTAAAGGACTGTTGGAAAATAACGAAGTAAGCGAGCTGCAGAATAATCAGAGAGCAAAAAATGTTCTTTAACGGATTGATCACAATCCGTTGATCACAATTAGCTGATCAGTTGGGCATGGATTGGAGTTGGATACCACTTACCCAGACTCATCACTTGCATCTATTGTAACAAACGCCGGCTTATCTGAGCTCGTATCAGTCGCACCATCTTCGGAAGCATTCCGACGTGTTGCAGCCACGAATGTCATTGTCATTGATGAAGCTTTATCGAATTTCGACGCTTCAATAACCAGATCCTGAAAATCCAGATCGCTAAATTTTCGTTTACTGAATAAAAGTTGATTTTGCTTTTCTTAAATATTGTAGGTCGGATTTCGAAGAGATATCTCACCTCAAGCCAAAAATCGTCATCGTCATTGTGTGCGATTGAAGATGTCTTCTGTTGATGATGAACTGAAGCCGTATCAACGTTAGTGATCTTCCGCTTCATACGTACCGCTATTGTAGCGACGGTTTTCGAGTGCCTGCAACCGGGATTGCGTTTGCTATGCGATCAAAATTTCACAATGAATCAATCGATAGATCAACATTGAAGGCTCAATGAACAGTCAGTTTAACAAGCATGCAATCCTCAATGATAGTCCTCAATCAGCCATTTCAGTTCGTGCCGGTCAATCAGCTAACGACAGTTTGCCTAACTTACGGTTTCTTAATGGATATTTCGCCTAATAGGCAAACTGTTCCTTAGGTAAACTGTCCTTAGGCAAAATGTCCGTTCGGCAAACTGTCCGATAGGCAATGTGTCTTTAGACAACCTGCCGTTAGGCTGAATGTCTTTAGGCAAATTGACCGGGTACCATTCCAATTGCGTTTCACTTTAACAAGCATTTTCGCCACCTCATATTATTTTGCCTCTCCACTTCGGTTCGTTTGGCCGTGCCTTGATCCATGTCACGTGCTTCCTCAGCCACTCGTCGTCCGCTTGAATCAGACGAACCAGTGGTCAACGGCGTCTCCGTTGTGTTTCTAGTTGTTGCTAGCGACAATGAATTATTCCCTAACACCTCGTCTTCGGCACCCGCGTTGGTGATGTTATTGATAAGTTCATTCAGCTGATGTGCAAATTGGGTTAGTCGTTCCTCGTTCGGATGTAATTCTTCCTGAATAATAAATATTTCTTTGAAGTCCAACGTGAATGCCTCGATTCAGATATCCACACCCTCCGAATATCTTCTCACCCGAAAATGAATCTATTTTCCCAGAAAAGAAAGAAAAACTTCCCACAGAAATTTCTCAAGTTCAACTTGTGATCTATTCAGTCATCATTTGATAAATAGCAGTTTTCTAAGTGATCAAAATTGCCACTTGAATAGAGTGTAGATAGCGAATTCATTATTTTGTTATCATAAGGTTATATTTCTTTAGAAATTTGGAATGTTTGTCGCAGATTTTTTGAGTGCAGTCAAAATCTTGCAGTGCAAAATTATGTCCACCGCACCTTGTATGGATCACATATGAGTGAT